ATTATAATAAGGTTTATAAGCTGAGTTTGAAACTTTCCTTCATTGCCTTTTTTGTCTTGAATTTTAGTTTCTTTTATAAAAAAAATAGAACATGTCTCATATATGTGTACATGCTTTCTGTGTGAACTAAGTGATCAAAGAGATACAACAGTTCTCTGTAGACATAGCTACTTTAGCAAATGAAGGACGTGGTTACTTAGTAGCACTACATAATATTTAATATGTAACTGTGATGCCAGTTGAAACTATTCTCTTAACACAGTAGCAATTGTCTTAGAGTAGGTGGAGCGGTTTCTTTAATCTTACATGTGGAAGGAAGACCATATAGCAGAAAAGCAAACTCTCACTCAGGAAAACAGTAGCAATAAAATTAAATAATAGGAGAAATGTACATACTCTGAGGAAACCGTGGTGGGTTGTCATTGACATCAGTCAGGGTGATATTCACGGTGGTTGATCCTGAAAGCCCACCAACTTGTCCAGCCATGTCTTTGGCTTGAATGACCACTGAGTAGTGTTCTCTGGCTTCTCTGTCCATGTTATGTAAGGCAGTTCTAATAACTCCTGTAATATATATTAAAATATAAAATCAATATGTGTTATACATTGAATGAGATGCTGCTTAAGTATGCTTCTTTTTGTTTTAAGAATTTTTTTTTCTTTTAAATAACACACTTTTAAAAGGTAGTAGCACGTCTAAGAAAAAGAGTAACTTAACATTGTAACTTAATCTCATCCAAAAATGTGTCATTGAAACATTTATTTGCAAACACATGTCCAAACTCACTGCTGGCATGTCAGTTTCAACTCATAACGACCTGTCCTTGGGTTTCTGAGGCAGTGTCTCTACAGAAGTAGATTGCCCAACCTTCCTTCCAAGGAGTGGCTGGTGGGTTTGAACTGTCAGCCTTCTGGTTAGCCATCAAATGTCTTAGGCACTATGCCACCAGAGCTCCTCCAAACATTTCCATTACTGGCAAATTAGGATATCATCTCTCTGTGTTTCTTGGGTTGGACGTACCCCAACATGGCAGTCCTACAGCCCAGGCTTGAATCCCTGTGGTGGTGTGCTGAGCATTTAACTATGTGTGCTTCTTACAACTGTCAATTGAGATAGTTATATCAACTAACAGAGATATTAATTTTCATCTTTGTGCAGTGGTTTACATAGCTACCTGGCAGGATAGTCATGTTTGATGATAGAAAATGTTGGAAAAGCACAGACATTCAGACAATGTCTAAAGGCAAGAGTCATGTTAACATTTATCAAGGTTAAGAAACTCACCAGTTTTATTAGAAAACAACCACCACAAGATCTATGTATATCAGCAAAATAAAGTAAGGGCATTGATTCCAGAAGTCACATGTAAAAGTCATATTCTTTATCTTATAGTGACAAGGGGGTAGGGTATTTTATTCAATTTGGATGAACAGACAATTGAATTTTATTGGATATATCATTATATATGCATGAATGGTTATGCATATTGTCATGTGAACAGATGCATGCACTCTGAATTTGATAATATTTGATACCTTTGTCAATAACCAGCAACCTCTGGGTGAACTCTGACCGTGACCC